CAGTCATTATTTTTCTCCTAAGCAATGTTGCTTAATAATACAGTTGACAGTAGACCTTTTTCAGAATCCTAAGGGAAAAGAGCAAGAAAATTAACTAATTCTCATCCAGAAGAGAAGAGGATTTTGTTAATTCTTTACTTACAAAGAATATACAGTCTCTGTCTTGGATTGAATTGTGTCCCTCCAAAATTATGTGTTAGCTTGGCAGGGCCATGATTCTCAGTGGTTTGGCAGTTAGGTAGTGATGTGATCTGATGTGATTAGCCAATCAGTTTGTAAGGGAATTAAGGTGGGATACAGCACCCTTACTCAGGTTGTGGCCCTCATCCAACATAAGGGGAGTTTCCTTGGGATGTGGCCTGCATCACCTTTTATCTTAAAAGAGACAAAATGAGAGAGAAGTGAGGGAAGAGAGACCTCACTCAGTACCATTGAGAGAAAAGAGCCAGGAGCAGAGCATGTCCTTTGGATGCAGCTCCACCCCTTGAGACCTTCTAGATCCAGGGGAAGATTGATGTCAGGACATGTATATCTCCAAGGAGCGTCAGACCCTCAGATGTTGAAAGGAGACAAGGGCCTTCCCCCAGAGCTAACAGAAAGAGAAACCCTTTCCCTAGAGCTGTCAGCCTGAATTCAGACTTTTATCCTCCTAAACTATGAGAGAATAAATTTCTGTTTGTTAAAGCCATCCACTCATGATATTTCTATTATAGCAGCACTAGATAAATAAGACAGAATTTGGTAGTAGGAGTAGGGTGCTGCTCTATCAAACACCTAAAGTATGGAAGCAGTTTTGGAATTGAATAAGGAGGAGAGACTGCAAGAATTTTAAGGTGCCTAATAGTAAAAGCAAGGAGCTCTGGTGGTATAGTGGTTAAGGCATTTGACTGTTAAAATGTCAGTGGTTTGAAACCACCAGCTGCTCTGTTGAAGAAAGATAGGACAGTCTCCTTCCATGAAGATTTACAGCCTTGGAAATCCAATGAGGGTCACTATGAGTAGAAATCAACTCAATGCCAGTGAGTTTGGTTTTTGGAATACTAAAACCCTAGATTGACTTGAAGAGATTGTTGGTGGAATTATGGATGACAAAGGCAATCCTAGTGAGGGCTCAGAAGGAAATGAGCTGCAACATCAGAGATGGTACAGAAGGTGAGGTGAGAAGCAGCAACAGAGAAATGGCAGCAGTAAAACCAGACCAGCACAAAATAGTACAGGAGCTAAATGATGGAGTGAGAAAGCTCAGTGGTTTGAGGCAAGAGGCTTCCTGGTGGTGTGGGGTGCTTTGGGTCACTTGTTGGTGGAGCTAGGCTTTCTGACCCACAGAGTGAGAGAGCTGAGTGTCTTCAGGCCATGGCTCACTGGTGGAGTGGGGTGCCTCCGGACACTTAGCAGTAGAGCTAGAGAGCTTTATAACACTTTCCCAAGCAAGGCAGAGGCCAGGCAGGCCTAAAAGGCCTTAGGGGCCATGTGGCCACAAAAGCAGGATCTGAAGAGACAACACAAGAAGCAGAGCTGCCTCAGTCTCGAAAGAGTAGGACCACAACCACTGGCATCTCAAAGGGTGGGGCTATGGCTTCCTAAGTTTCAAAGAGTCAGATCTTTACCAACTTGGGTCTGAAGTATGGGGCTGCCATTCACAAATGCTAGAGAGATAGGGCCAGAGCAACTGCCCAAAGCTGAGGAGGCAGGGTCGCCATGCCCAAAGGGCAGAAGAATGGGTCCTTCCAGGGAGCAGGGGTTGAGAGGGTTGGGTAACCACTCAGTTGGACTAGGTGAGTGGGGCCACCCAAAGCTGAGGGAGCAAACTTGCAGTCCCAGTAGGTCTGGGAGGCAGAACTGAGGCGTAGGGCCAAGGTACCTCCACCCAGAATTCAGAGAGCATGGCTAAAACCCAGAGTCTGGAGGGCAGGACTATTGCCCAGCTGGCCTGGGAGAACAGAGTACTTAATTAGTTCTGCTAGGTTTTTGACTTGCTTGGTGCCAGTTCCTTCTTTCCCTCTAACTGCTCCCTTTTATAATGGAAATGTCTACCTTGGGCCTATTGCTTTCATTGTACTTTGGAGGCAAGTAACTTGTATTCTACATTCACAGGTGAGGAATTTTTGCCCCAGGGTAGAATTTGGATTTGGTGTCAATTTAAGACTTTGGGATGATATGATGGGGTGAAAATGTTTTGTACATGGCAAAGACATGAATTTTGGGGACTAAAGAGTGGAATAGATTGAATTGTGTCCCCCAAAAAATGTGTCAACCTGGCTTGGCCATGATGACTCTTAATTATGTCATAATGTAATTTAATAATTTCTGTTAGTTAAAGCCATCCAAATGTGGTGTTTCTGTAAAAACAGCACTAGATAACTAGGAATACAATTTGACATTGTGTACTGAAAGCCCTCATTGTGGGTGTTTTGATTACTTCCTAGTGCTGTTCTAAGAGGCAATACCACAAATGGGTGACTTTAACAAACGGGAGTTTATTTTCTTAAAGTGTTGGAGGCTAGAAGTTTGAGTTCAAAGTGTCAGCTCTAGGGCCTGGGTGAAAGCCCCTCAACCTTGGGCTTCAGCTCTGCCTCTTGCTTCCAGCCCCCTGAAGCTACAGGTGTCTCTTCACTTAGGCAGCCCCTGGCTACTGAAGCTGACAAGCCCAAGGTAGACAAATAAAATGGCACAGTCCCAGTATTACCAAACAACACAGCAGGCCACTAGTTCAAGTCCACAGACAGTCCCAAGATCAGCAGGAAACATGGCAGGCTGCTAAATGAAGACTCGACTGCATGCAGGTCCAAATGTCCAAAAAGCTGCAGAGACCTTTCTCAATGCTTCTCCTTACATAGTGGAAGAAGTCCACATCCCTGAGGCAGCTACTCAGCTGCTTGTGACAGATTCCACCTTGGAGGTGATTGCCAGTCTCATCATGGGGAATAACTATGACCAGCTGCCCAGCCACTCAAAACCAGGCCCAGCCAAATTGACATATAACCTTAACTACACAGTGGGTATATCCCTAAAATCTGGCAGTTTGTTTTTAGGTATATGTGTGGGTCTGTATATAAATAGATTCACTGTAGTATAATTTGCAACAGTGAATAACTGGTGACCATCTAATCGAGGGAGCTCTGGTAGCATAGTGGCTAAAGCACTTGACTGCTAACCAGGAGGCTGGCGGTTCAAAGCCACCAGCCACTCCTCGGAAGGAAGGTTGAGCAATCTACTTCCGTAGTGATACTCCCTCGAAAACCCAAGGAGGGGTCGCTATGAGTCGGGTCCGACTCGCCGGCACATAACAACAACAACATCTAATTGCTGAGCAGCTGGTTAAGTAAGTTGTAGTACACTTGTGTTATAGAACACTAAGTAGGTTTATAGAATAGATATATCAGAAATAAAATTAAGAAGAGTTATATAAAAATACTTAGTGTTTAATTCAGGGTGGTAATTTTCTGTGTAATTTTTTTAACCACTTCTGCTTTGTGTGTGTGTGTGTGTGTGTGTGTGTTTCTGATTTTTCAGGTTACATATTACCTTTGATTAATTGCCCTCCCCCAGAAATCAAGGAAACTGATGGCATACTATTTACATTAACTGATTATACATTCTAAGGGTTTATTTTAATAGCAGTAAGAAGGCTGGATCTTAAACTCTTTTAATGTGTTTTAGTAGGAGCTCTGGTAGCATAGTGGCTAAGACACTTGCCTGCTAACCAGACGGCTGGCGGTTCAAACCCACCAGCCACTCCTCGGAAGGAAGGTTGGGCAACCCAACTTCCGAAAGAATCCTGCCCCCGAAAACGCAAGGAGGGGTCGCTATGAGGCGGGTTTGACTCGACGGCACATAACATAACAGTGAGATTTTATTTATTTTATCAAGTACTCAGGTCATGTCACCTCAACACGTGAAGTGAAAGATTTCCAACCATCAAAATCATTCAGTTCATTTTCTCACATATCATCAGTGCCTGCTGTCAAGTCAGTCCCACTCATGGCTCCCCATGTGTGTCCAAGTAGAACTATGCTCTGTGGCTTTTCAGTGTCCGGTTTTTTAGAAATAGATCATCAAGCCTTTCTTCTGAAGTCCCTCTGGGTGGACTCAAACCTCCAGCCCTCCTGGTCACTGACAAGCGCTTGACCGTTTTCACTACCCAGAGACGCTGTGCCATAAACACTACTGAGTGATTTCTAATTTCTAATTAAAATCTCACAAATTCTAAACTTCAGTTCAAAATTGATAATAATGTAAATACAGAATTTTGTAAATTGGTCTGTAGGATTAATATTGGGGACTAGGCTGGGGAGACAAGGATAAATATGGGATAGAAACTATGGCTTAGTGATTCAGTAGAAAAAGCCACTTAACTATAGATTTTCATCTTCTCTGGTAGAATTTAGCTGGCAGCCCTCATTTTGTCAGGTTACGGATAGGTAATGCCTGCCATCTTTACTGCCTAAGGGATTTTTTGTTTTGCTCTATACAATTAAATTTCTATCTTCCACTTGGCAATTTGCCTACTTCATAGTTTATCCTTGATGTACCCATCCACCGATAGTAATCTTGTCATTCTGTTGTTTCAAAAAGTGTAAAACAAATGTTTTCCCAAGGGGTATATAGTATTTGGAGGAATATTGAGGGGAAGAAAAGTATTCAAGCTATACTTGCAATAGAATTAGAGTCATATAAAGAATATCCAAAGACATAATTACCGTTTAGATTACCTGCCTTTTTGTATTAGCTATGTTTCTTGTTCTCCCTACAAGTGGATAATGGAGAGCTAGTCAACTCCCTAGAAGGACTGTGTGCCATAGGAGACCAATCTCCGGGACTTAGGAGTTCTAGACCAGGCTCTGCAGGGGTTGTGTTACCTTAGGACTCAGTTTCCTCACCTATGAAACGAATGGTTGAGATACAATGATCTCTTAGGTCCTTCATTTAAAAAACAAAAACAGACAAACAAAAACCTTTGATGATGATAAAGTTTGATAATTTTGTGTTTTGTCTTTCAGTTTATATCTGTTCAAACTAGGAATAGCACCCCAGATCCAAGACTTGTTGGGCAAAGTAGACTTCACAGGTACTACTCATTATCTATATATTTATTATATTTTACTATCTCATTAAGAAAATTTACCAGTTACGTTTGTTTACTTTTGATATATTCATCTTTCTTCCTCTGTATTTAAAAAAGAAAACATATTTATCTTACTTGTACTTAGCTGAATTCCCTTTTCCCCCTTCATTTGTGAAATGAGAAACTAAAGTTGGTTTTCTCTTAAGGCTCTTGGTTAGAACAGCCCTACCTTGTGATGAACACGTTTCTGGATATGAATATATTCATTCCTGCCTCCACCTCCATCTGTGACTTTCTTTGATATTTGTATTATTCTTTCAGAGGAGGAAATCAGTAATATGAGAAAGGAACTTGATAAATATGGAATCCAGATGCCATCTTTCAGCAAAATAGGTGGCATTCTGGCTAATGAACTGTCCGTGGATGAAGCTGCTTGTAAGTCTTGTTTAAAATCCTAACTTGTTGTTAACTTGAGATTGACTTAGACTTTAACTGTTGATTTTAGTTACATGGAATTAGATATCTAGAAGATATTTTAAGCACCCTGAAAGCTTTTATTATATGCATCTTAGATAGTTAATTTGAGGATATCTCAATATACCAAATAATTAATTGTGGACTTGAGAGATCTCTTGTGCAATGTGAATTACGATGTTCTGGGAATAGTGCTATTCTCCAAAATATTTCTTTACTTTTGGTGTCCTTAAATTTTAATGGGCACAATAAAATATTATTTAAAAAAAAAATTTTAGTGCTAGTATACATTATTTGAGGTCTTTTAGTGTTACAGGCTAAATCACAAGTATCTCTTGGTACAAGTATCTCCCTAACAAGAGAGCAAGAACATATCTTCAAACTCCAGTGGTTGGCAGAGTGCTTGATTTATGTTAGGCTTTTGATGCAAGCTGAATAAATTAACAGGGATTACTTAACAGATGCTGAAAACAAAAATAGAAGACACATGTCGAGAGGGTGTCCAGAGAGGTACTCCACAGTATGTCTGAGGCATGCTTACTGGAAACCAAGGAAGAAAGTAAAACCACTTGAGTTTACACAGAGTCAGTGCAACTGTCAGATTTGCCTTTTGCTGATAAAAATCCCTTTTGCCTCTTTACGTTTTAGTGCACGCTGCAGTTATAGCCATTAATGAAGCTATTGAGAAAGGAATAGCAGAGCAGACCATTGTAACGCTAAGAAACCCAAATGCAGTTTTAACTTTAGTGGATGACAACCTTGCGCAAGAATATCAGAAAGAACTCTGGGAAGCCAAAAAGAGAAAAGGGGAAAATGCAAAACTAAAGGTATTTAATGTATTCTAAGTAATAAATATAGTTGTTACTAGTTTGCAAAAGCTTTAATATGAAAAGGGGTATTTTTAAGTTGACTGCTTTAGAAAGGACTCTGGTCTCTGTAGCCATAGGCGCCTGGTTTGGATGAAATGTAAAAGAAGTGCATGCACTATATAAGGAAATTAATCTTCCTTTTATAATGAAAATTATGAGTTGGGAGGGTTGAAGATCATGTCACAAACGTACTACTTAACAGAAAGTATGTTGTTGTTGTTGTTATGTGCTATCGAGTCGGACCCGACTCATAGCGATGCCTCCTTGGGTTGCCGAGGCAGTATCCCTATGGAATTAGATTGCCCCATCTTCCTTCCAAGGAGTGGCTGGTGGGTTTGAACCGCCAGCCTTCTGCTTAGCAGTCAAATGCCTTAGGCACTATGCTACCAGAGCTCCTATTTATATTTATTAGCAGAGGGTAAAGAAGCCTTGGTGGTACAATGGTTAAGGGCTTAGCTGCTGACTGAAAACACTGGCAGTTTGAACCCCACCCACAGCAGCTCCTTAGGAGAAATATGTGGTGCTCTGCTTCCATAAAGATTATAGCCAAGAAAGCCCTAAGACAGTTCTGCTTTATATGGTCACTATGAGTCAGAATTGACTCAATGGCACGCAACTACTACCCCCCCCAAAAAAAAAAAAAAACAACTGCCATCAAGTCAATTCCAACTCATAGCAAGCCCCATTGGGTTTCCAAGGCTGTAAATCTTTATGGAAGTGGATTGCCTGCGGAGCATCTGGTGGATTTGAACTGCCAATCCTTTGGTTAACAGCCAAATGCCTTACCAACTATGCCACCTCATTTTCCTGATAGTTAGTCTTTTATATTTGAGGAAAAGGTATCCATTCTTGGCATGGTATCCTGCTCCTGATCCTAACTCCATTCTTACCACCTTCCCATCAAGTTAGTTACAGAAAACTTTGTCTAGACTCAGCTTCTACTTCCTTACCACCTTTCTTTACTTAAGCTCTTTCCATGTAAGTTTCAGCTCTATCACTAAGAGCAACCACCTTGTCCTATGGTCTTTTCTCAACTGTTAGCTTTCAACAGTCTCTGACCCAGGTGTCCCCACCCTGCCCCACCTGCCTGAAGATTCTCTGCTCCCTGGCATATGCTCTGTGCTGCCATGGTTTTCTTCTATGTCTCTTAGTGTCTCTTTTTCCTCCTCCTCTCCCTAAATAAGGGAATTCTTCAAGGTTAGACACTGAGTCACTCCTGTCTCTGATCTTCCTCAATTGATCTCATCCGCTTAAAGAAATCAGCTGTTCATTTTATACCAGCCCTTCTAAAATCTGCTTACTAATTGTCTTAGACTGAGTTCTCTAGAGAAGGAAAACCTGTTGTTGTTGTTAGGTGCCGTCAAGTTATCTCTGACTCACAGTGACCCTATGCACAGCAGAACAAAACACTGCCCAGTCCTATGCCAGCCTCACGATCCTTGCTATACCTGAGCCCGTCTTTGTAGCCACTGTGTCTATCCATCTCGTTGAGTGCCTTCTGCTTCTTCGTTGATCCTCCAAGCATCATATTCTGCTCCAGGGAATGGTTCCTTCTGGCAACATGACCAAAATAAGTGAGACGAAGCCTGGCCATTCTGGCTTCCAAGGACCATTCCGGCTGCAATTCTTCTAGGACAGGTTTGTTAGTCCTTTTAGAAGTCCGTGGTACTCTTAACATTTTTCTCTAACACCACAATTCAAAAGCATCATCTCTCCTTCACTTTTCCTTATTCACTGCCAGCTCTCATATGCATAAGAGGCAATTGAAAATACCATGGCTTGGGTTAGGTGCACCTCAGTTTTCAAGGAGAAATCTTTGCTCTTCATCACTTGAAAGGAGGTCTTTTGCAGCAGATTTGCCGAATGCAATACATCATCTGATGTCTTGACTACTGCTTCCATTGGTGTTGATTACAGAACCAAGTAATATGAAGTCTTTGACAACTTCGATCTTTTTTCCATTTATCATGAAGCTATTTATTGGACCAGTTGTGAGGATTTTTGTTTTCTTTATATTGAGGTGTAATCCATACTGCAGACAGTAGCCTTTAATTTTCATCAGTAAGTGCTTCGAGTCATCCTCATTTTCAGCAAGCATATATGTGTATATATATATAGCAAGATAGGCAGACAGGCAGACAGATAGACAGACATAGAGGTTTATCTCAAGGAAATGACTCATACGGTTGTAGAGGCTAGCAAGTCCCAAGTCCATGGGTCAAACAATAGGCTGGAGGCTTCTCCTGACTCACATAGCTTGGGCTGAGAAACCCAAGATCAGCAGGTCAGATGGCAAGCTGCTGGCTCACAGGCTGTAGAGACTGGCGAATCTAAGGTTGGAAGGCTGCTGGATCACAGACCGTTGAGGCCAATGAATCCCGATTGATAAGCATTTTAGCAGGCCACTGACTCAAGTCCAAAGAGCTGCAGGCCAGATGATGATGAGCTGGATGTAAGACCTAGATAGAGCAGAAAAGCAGAGAGCTTTGCCAGAACATCTATATATATTAGATATAGTCCATACCCCCAGAAAACTCCTTTTTAACTAATTGGTTGCTCATAACAGATCTCATCATGGGGGATGACTACATCATAATTGCCAAACCACTGAGAATCATGACCCAGTCAAGCTGACTCACAGCCTTAAATGTTGTACTAATGCTACTACAGACATTGTCACCCCAGGTCCCACAGGCCCTGAACTCACCACATCAGAAGATTGCTCTTCTCACACATGTGCCCCTTCCTGACTTCCCTGGTTGGGAACAACTGTGACGTTGTCACAGAACTTATTTTATGCCTCCTATGTTTTATCTTCAAAATAAAACTCCTCACAATTGGACCAATAAGCAACATCATTATAAATGAAGAAAATATTGAAGTTATCAAGGTTTGGATTTTATTTAGATCCACAGCATCCATGGGGGCAGCAGTCAAGACATCAAACAACACATTGCATTGGACAGTTGAGCTGTAGAAGGCCTCTTTAAAGTGTTAAAAAGCAAAGATATCACCTTGAGGACTAAGGTGCACCTGACCCAAGCCATAGTATTTTCAGCTGCCTCATATGCATCTGAAAGCTGGACAGTTAATAAGAAAGACTGAGAAAGAATTGATGCCTTAGGATTATGTTGTTGGTGAAGAATATTGAATATACCACGGACTGCCAGAGGAATGAACAAATCTGTCTTGGAAGAAGTACAGCTAGAATGCTCCTTAGAAGCAAGGGTGGTGCAACTTCATCTCATACTTTGACATGTTATTAGGAGGGACCATGGACATCATGCTTGGTGAAGTAGAGGGTCAGTGTAAAAGAGGAAGACCCTCAATGAGATGGATTGACACATTGGCTATAATAGCAGGGTCAAATAGCAATGACTGTGAGGATGGCACAGGACCAGGCAGTGTTTTGTTCTGTTATACAGAGGTATGCTGTGAATTGGAACCAACTCAGTAGCACCTAACAACAACAACATGTCTTTTCTGGAATCCCCCCAAAAATTAAACCAAACTTACTGCTGTCAAGTTTGATCCGGCTCATAGTGACCCCTCCTTGGGTTTCCAAGGCAGTATCACTATAGAAGTAGATTGGCCAACCTTCCTTCTGAGGAGTGGCTGGTGGGTTTGAACCGCCAGCCTTCTGGTTAGCAGTCAAATACCTGAGGCACTATGCCACCAGAGCTCCCTCTAGAATGCCAGGTGGTGCAAATGGTTAAGCAGTCAAGTACTAGCCAAAAGGTTGGCAGCTCAAACCCACCTTCCAAGACACAATTTGGAAGACAGTCCTGGTGATCTGCTTCCAAAAGGTCACAGCCTTGAAAACTCTATGGAGCAGTTCTGCTCTGCACACCAGTCAAAATTAACTTGATGGCAACTGAGAACAGCCATGTCTTTTCGAGAGTACTTGAGTGTTAAAACTGTTGATGCACTCAGCTGCTAACGAAAAGGTTGGAAGTTCAAGTCTACCCAGAGGTCCTTAGAAGAAAGACCTGGCAAACTCCTGAAAAGTTAGCCATTGAAAACCCTATGGAGCACAGTTCTTCTCTGACACACGTAGGGTCACCATCAGTCAGGATTGATACAATGGCATCTAGTTTTTACGTGCTATCCATTGCTACATTCTGTTGATTTTCTCTTGCTTTGAATCCATTGCCTAGGCTTTTCTGTCTCACCATGCTAGCCTCAGTCTGCCCTTCAGCCTGACTCCAGGACTCTTGCAGCACTTTGATCACAGCTCTCCCTGCTTCCTGTCATTCTCCAGGCCAACTGCTCTCAGACTAGAGACTGCAGAGTTAGTCTTTTAAGTATAGATCTGATGTCACCCCACCAGAAACTTCAGATTCCCTATTGCCTACTAAATTAAGTATAGACCTTTAGCTTAGCCTTCAAAAGCCTCCATGATACCCAACTAATCTCCTTATCCATTTGGCTAACCCTGGACGTACTCCCCACACTGCAACCAAGTGCCAAGCCTTCCCACCTTTGTGACTAAATTCTGCTCTCTGCATCCTATCTCCCATCTCTGCCTTTAACATTACGTTCTTCTTCTAATCCCCCCTCAATTGTTGAATCTCTTTAAAAATTTCCTTCCAACTGGGTGTGAATCCTTTTTTAAATACTTGTGCTAGTTCTCCTATGGAATCTATCCTATTCTGTTTGTAGTTATTATTTGTGTTCTTGATTGTATTAGGTTGAATCATATGAAATTGTCGATATTTGTCTGTTTCTGATCTATACAAAAATGGCAGTACCAAATGGTCCAACCTTATGTTCAAACAGTAACATTTTCCACATTAGATACTTAGTTCTTTTCAGCGAGTCACTGGGTTTGTTGTTCATTTGTAACTCTTGCAGAGTATATCTAACTCCAGTGCCTTGCATAAAGCAGGCACTTCATAATTCCTTGTATTGAATTCAGATGAAAATCAGTGATAGGTTTTTATGACTCCGCATTTTTGTTTTTATTATCGAGCTTTGGAAGCTTTAACTCCAGAAGTCAATGAAGACTTTGTTTTGCAGAATAGCTGTATTTCAGAAGAAGAAAGAGATGCATATGAAGAACTGCTGACGCAAGCAGAAATCCAAGGCGGTATCAATGAAGTCAACAGTAAGTAATGGGTTGTATGAAGGTAAACAGATACTTCCACTAGATACAAACTGCTTTGCCAGAACCCCAGTACAACTCTAAACTTCTGTCCTTATAAAAGCTGCCTTTCATGATAAAAAAAAGTTGTATAAATGTCAGTATTGCTCTAACCTATGGTGCATCATTTGATAGTTTTTTTTTTTTTCTTTTCCAAGTGCATTTTATTGAAATATAATTTATGTACAGTGAAATACACAAAACTAAAGTGACATGGGTCAGTCCTTTTTTTTGTATGTGTGTGTGCAGTGTTCCCTCCCTTCCCTTCCCCTCCCACCCCTGGTAACCAACAAAGAAGGTTTCTTTCCATACATCCTTGACTTTTTACAATAATGAACTAATACTATGTTTGTCCATCTGTGATTGACTTCTTTCACTCAGCACAGTGTCCTCCAAGTTCATCCATGTTATGCGGTGTTTTGCAGATTCTACATTATTCTTTAGGGTTGTATAGTATTCCATTGTGTGTATATACGACAGTTTGGTTATCCATTCTTCTGTTGATGTCCACGTAGGTCGTTTCCATCTTTTTGCTATTGTAAATAGTGCTGCAATGAACATGGGTGTGCATATATCTGTTCTTGTCATGGCTCTCACTTCTTTAGGATATATACCTGGTAATGGGATTGCTGGGTCAAACGGTATTTCTAATTGCAGCTTTTTAAGGAATTGCCATACTGTTTTCCACAGTGGTTGTATCATTTGACAGTCCCACGAGCAGTGTATGAGAGTTCCAGTCTCTCCACATCTTTGCCAGCATTTGTTATTTTCTGTCTTGTTGAACTTTGCCATTAGTGCTGGGGTGAGATGGTATATCTTGTTGTTTTGATTTGCATCTATCTGATGGCTAATGATCATGAGCATTTCTTCATGTATTTGCTGGCTGCCTGAATATCCTCTTTGGTGAAGTGTCTATTCATGTCTTCTGCCCATTTTTTAATTGGATTATTAATCTTTTTGTTGTTGGTGTGTTGGACTTTTCTATAAATTTTAGAGATAAGTCCCTTGTCAGATATGTAATTATCAACAAATATGAATTTGTTACTGTCATTTGGTTATGTGCTTTTTTGTGGTGTTGATTTCTTTGTTCCATATAATTTTTTGTGCTGAGCTTGTTTTGTTTATGAATCATGTTATCACTTCCTTTGTTGCTATTGTTTTAGTATTTGCTAAATATTTGTACTGGTCCTCTTTTTTATTTTAATGTGAAGGTTTATCATTTTTCTTTGAGGTTACCCTGTGATTTATAGTTGCTTCCCAAGTTTAGAACAGTCCATTCTATCTTGTAGCTGTCTTGACTTCCTTACCATTCAGAAGTTCTGTAACTAAACAGTTTTTTCCCTCTTTTTGGTCTTCATTTGTCAGTTGATGTCTCTGGTTCCCTGTTTACAGTGTTGTAGGCTTATTTACTTTGGACACTTCTATAACTGGGTTGGTTTCTGGTTTATGTCATCATGTGTGTTAATGATCAGTTGTTGTTTGCTGTTGTTGCTTCTCTGTCCAAAGGACTCCCTTTAGCATCTCTTATAAGGTTGGTCTGACTTTAACAAATTTCCTTAATTTCTGCTTATCTGGAAATGTCCTAATTTCACCCTCATGTTCCAGGGACAATTTTGCTGGGTATATAGTTCTTGGTTGGAAATTTTTCTCTTTCAGGGTATTATATATACCATCCATTCTTCTTGCCTGCATGGTTTCTGCTGAGATCCAAGTTTAGTCTTATTGGTTGCCCCTTGTAGGTAACTTTTCATTTTTCCTGTGCTACTTTTAGGATTCTTCTTTGTCTTCGGTTTTGGTGAGTTTGATGATATGTCTTGGTGATTTTCTTTTGGGGTCTATCCTGTTTGGGGTCCGTTGGACTTCTTGAATGGATATATTCTCATCTTTCATCATACCAGGAAAATTCTCTTCTAACAAATCTTTGACAATTTTTTCTGCAGTTTTATTTGTCTCTTCCTGTTCTGGAATTCTGATTACATGTACGTTATTCCTTTTGATGGTAGTCCACATGAACCTTAGGCTTTCTTCATTTTGTTTTGATCTTTTTTTCTGATTGTTCCCTTTCCAAAGAAGTATTGAGGTATTTGCCTTTGATCTCACTAATTCTGTCTTCCATTGATTCAATTTTACTCCTTTGCTCATTCAGTGAGTTATCTATTTCTGAAAATTTAGTATTAATAATCTTCTAGATTTCTTTGTGTAGGTTTTGTATCATTTCTAATTTTTCATTTATTTGTCATTTTGTTCTTGTATTGTCTTTCAAAATTGTTCTACGGTTTTCTCTGTTTTCCTCCATTTTTTCAGTGTGTCCCTTGATCTATTTCTCAATTCATTGAAGGTACCTAAATATAATTTTTTTGAATTCCTTATCAGGGATTTCCAGTGCTGTGTCTTCCTCAGGGTTGTGTTTTGGGTCTGTATTCTGGTCCCTTTTTTTTCTCCTGCTTTATCTTCCTTCTTTGTGTGAATTGTGATGCTCTGTTGTCTCCGAGACATTGGGACTTTTTTGTGTTTATATTTAGTTGGTGATTTTATGTTGGAGTGATTTGCCCATGATTTTCATTTTCTTTGTTTTGTTTGTATGTTATCTGTTAAGCAGGGTACTGTGCTGTGTTCCTCTATTCACCTGTTATACATTCACCGCCTGTCTCCTTTACCATTGTCTGTCTCCCATATGTCCCTGCTGCCCTTGGCAAATGGAGCCTATTCTTAGGTCCCTGGAATCTGAATGAGAATGCTATCACTTTAAAATCCAAAATGGCCACTATTCATGAACATTCAAAATGGCTGCACCCACTGTCACTTAAATATCCAAAATGGCTGTCGCTTGTAAACATTCAAAATGGCTGCACCCTCGGTCACTTTAAATATCCAAAATGGCTGCCACTTATAAACCTTCAAACTGGTTGCACCCTCAGTCACTTTAAATATCCAAAATGGCCACTGTGTGTAAATAATAAAAATGGCTTCACCCTCTGTACAGCCAAAAGTCCATTGCTCAGGTTTTCTCCCTCCTTGCTATTTCCCTTCCTAGTCATAGGCCACCAGTATAGTCATCCCTGCACCCCTTGGAGACCAGGCTGATCTTTAGGTCAATTCTCAGGTTCCAACACCATTTGGAAATATTCAGGCTGTTGGTCCTGTCAGAGTAGCTGACAGTCCACTGCTCCAACCATCTCTGTACTCACTGTTTTCATTCAGGTTTTGCCACTAGTCGGTACCTAATCCACTTCTGCATACTTCCTTTCAAAGCTCAGGGCTCCAGGATTATCTTCTGTATCTCTGTCAACTGGTTTCTCTTTTCTTTGTTGAAATGAGTCTGTGGAGCTTGTCTGCCTATTCCACTATCTTACCAGAAGTCACACCATCTTCATTTGGTAGTTTGCCATTGAGCTTTAGTGATAATCTAGCCCCGAGTCCATGCAAAGTATCTCAAAGTATCTTGATGCTAATTTGATTGTACTTTCCTGTTTCATCAGAGGACAGTACATCTTATATTTTGACCCTCTCCCTTGGGTTAATCATAAAAGTTATATAATAAAGTATTGTGACTTAAAGATTATATAGTTCCTTGTTCATGATAATGTGATGGTATTCAGTTGGGGATTGTAAATGGTATTTGTGATATCTCTGGTTTTTTGTTTTTGTTTTTGTTTTTTCACTTCCCATTTGCTAATCTATAGTTTGTAAGAATTATTTGCTTTAGTGCAAGTGAAAGAGCTTTGTGTAGCTTTTGTCTAAGTGAATGATACGGTTGACAGGCAAGATAAAACCACATGTGGAAGATTTGAGTCCTATGCCCCTAAGCCCCTCTGGAATCTTACAGTTAAATAATAATTATTATTATTATTATTATTATTATTATTATTCGTCTTCTTCGTCGTCGTCTTCGTCGTCATCATCGTCGTCTTCGTCTTCTTCATCTTCATCTTCTTCGTCGTCGTCGTCTTCTTCTTCTTCTTCGTCTTCGTCTTCTTCGTCGTTGTCTTCTTCATCGCCATCTTCGTCGTCTTCATCTTCTTCGTCTTCATCTTCTTCGTTGTCTTCTTCGTCTTTTTCTTCGTCTTCTTCTTCGTCTTCGTTGTCTTCATCTTCGTCTTCTTCGTCTTTGTCTTCGTCTTCTTCATCGTCGTCTTCGTCTTCTTCGTCTTCATCTTCGTCTTCTTCTTCGTCTTCTTCGTCTTCTTCTTCGTCGTCTTCTTCTTTGTCTTCTTCGTCGTCATCTTCTTCGTCGTCGTCTTCTTCGTCGTCGTCTTCATCGTCTTTGTCGTCTTCGTCTTCGTCGTCTTCTTCGTCTTCATCATCTTCTTCGTCTTTGTCTTCGTCTTCTTCGTCTTTGTCTTCATTTTCGTCTTCTTCGTCTTTGTCTTCCTCCTCCTCGTTCTCCTCCTCCTCGTCCTCCTCCTCCTCCTCTTCCTCCTCCTTTTCTTCCTCCTCCTCCTCTTCCTCCTCCTCTTCCTCTTTCTCCCTCTTCCTCTTTCTTCCTCTTCTTCCTCTTCTTTCTCCCTCTTCTTCTTCCTCTTCCTCTTCTTCCTCTTCTTCCTCCTCTTCCTCCTCCTCTTCCTCCTCCACTTCCTCCTCCTCCTCCTCATTTTTATTGTGATTTGGTGAAAGTTTACAGAGCAAATTCATTTTCCATACAGCAGTTCACATATACTTGTCTCATGACATTGACTGCCATTTCCACATGCAACAACTCCCCTCCCACTTCCTCCCCTCTTCCCTGTGTCCTTTCCTTCCATGCATCCTGCCCGCCAAGCTGTCTCCTTGTGCATACACAGCCCTCTGTTCTCCCATGATTGATCTCTCCAAACAGTGTATCTGCCTAATGTAAATGTTCAGTTCATATGCCTGTCTTTTGTTTGGCTGGAGGCCACAGGAGTAGGTTCAATTCCAGACCTAATGGGCAGCTAGGGGCCATAGTCTCAGGGATTTCACCAAGCTGTATCAGACCAGCAGACCTGGTCCCTTTATTTTTTCTTTTTCTTTTTTTTTTTTTAATGATTTTGAGTGTTGCTCCACATTGTTCTCTCACTCTGTCCAGGATCTTCTATGTAGATCCCCTTCCAAGTGGTTGACAGTTGAGGATCACATGGTGTACAGTTGCTTGGACTAATTGTTTCCATGCGTCTTTCATTTTCTTCATTCTTCTTTGCTCTGGATGAAGAGAGACCCATTGTTGTATCTTGATGGCTACTTGCAAGTTTTTAAGATTCCAGTCACTACTCACCAAAGTAGGATATGGAACAGTGTTTTTGTGTAGTATGTTATGCCAATTGAGCTTTATGTCCCCTGCAACCATGGTCCCAAGCCCACAGGTCCAATTACCCGCTCTCTGTGGGTAGCTGGCTGTGGACAAGAAGTGACTACAACCTTGTCCCTTGTCAGCTCTAGTATATACCTAGAAATTCTTATAAAATGTACAAATATATTTGTAGAAACATTGTCTGCCAACCCTATGCATGGTCATAGGCACACTCCCTCCTGCATAGACATACTTTATCATTCAGCCTGTCACCCATCTATCCACCCATAGATCAATGTTTGCCGTCAGTCATACAGTTAAATTTTTCTTGATACATAGTTCAGTTGTGTGACTGTAAAGAACAGAAAAACTCATGTTAACTAAAATAATTACATGCAGGTTTAGATACATTAGCTTTTTCATTAGTTTCCCTACCCCCACCCCCACCCCCTTAATAGAATTTATTACTACTGAGCACTTGAAGAGGAAATAAGGAATATTATTTGATTATTTCCTCCTGGTCAATCTGACAAAAAACTAATGAACAACCATTTTTCCCATTAATAAAGTATGTGAACCTTCTCCAAATTTATTACCACACTTCTAAACCTTGTCCTCTATTTAGCCACCTAGATGATTTTTGGGAGCCCTGGTAGCGTAGTGCCTAAGGCAGTTGATTGCTAACCCAAAGGCTGGCAGTTCATACCCACCAGCCACTCCTCGGAAGGAAGGTTGGGCAATCTACTTCCATAGTGATACCACCTCGGAAACCCAAGGAGGGGTCACTCTGAGTCGGGTCCGACTCGATGGCAAATAGCAACAACAACAACAGATGAGTTTTTGCCATCTTGAAGGGTCTTTGTTGCTCTTAATTCTTTCAAATAAACACACATCTGTAGGTGGTACTCAGAAGTCTACTCCTAAGTTGCTGGTAGAGACATATGCTGAATGGTTCAAATAGTAATCAAGGAAGCCCAAAGCAGGTTGGATGTAAATATCTAGGAGTTAACAACTGAACGTGTTTGAGAATTTACCACATACACATGTGTGCACAATTATGGAGCGTCATGGCTTGACTGTTTTTTCTAAAGGCAACACCTTCACATTTCTGGGCACATGTTCCTATTCTTTTATCCCCATTAAATCTTTAACGTGTTGACATTGATGCATGAAGCATAAATCCAAGTTTCTCCATCTGCTGTATTTGAAACCTGAGAATTGCATTAATGCTTGACAGAAATGAATTACAGGAAGAAATTAATATTTCCATTGAGCATGGGAGGCTCATCAGCCTAGTGAGGAAATGCTTCCATAGCCATTTACCATCCTTTATTTTTGAAGAGTTTATAAACACTAAAGCAGATTTCTTTTTCATGGTAGATAAACTGCCTTCTATAAATGTTTTCATACTTTTCATAATTTCCTGACCACAGAGCTAATGCCAAATTGGCATAGTGGCTATACTTTTTTTTTTTTCTCTTCCTATTTTTAAGTACAAGGAATCAAGTGATTTACAGTAATGGCATAACCAGCTGAAGCTGATGAAGGACATTACAATGTTTGATAGTTTTCATGCATAGGGCAGGATTATCCTGAAGTGTTTGATCTCTCCCCATCTGAAAATTTATAGTCTGGTAGAACTGAAAGTAGTCTTGAAGAAAACCCCTTTAAAGTGTGTTTTAGTCAGTGACATAACCGTGAGTTGATTGCCAGCTTTAAAATATCTGAGTATAACTCCTTGCACAAGCTTTTCCTCAACCGCATATGTTATTAAAATGTTGAGACATCTACATTACTTGCTGCCAGCGTAATGACATAAGTAACAGCTTTGGTTAGCAATGTCAGTGGCCCCGTTGTTAGAAGCTTTGGCTTTGTTTGAACTGTAATATTTAACTTGGTTTTGACACAATCATTTCATTCATTACCTGATATATTCTTTTAAGACCAAGATTGGAAATTTTGTTAAATGCAGAGTATAAAAGAGTGGACAAGCTTGTCTTATTTTTTGGAAGAAATGGTTTAGTAAGAGTTAAGAGTTTGTGTTTTTTTTTTTTTTTTAACTAAAGATGTGATTTTTCTGATATTTTTACCATTCAGCTGTAGAAACTCATATAATAGAGTTATCAATTGTGAAGCTACGTCCTATGCAGAGAACTCAGACACAGCTGGAAGGCCTTGGATAATTTTACCAGAGCCATGAATACCACAACCAACAACTGACCTTCCTTTCTGGAATTGTTTAGTTTGCCACTAATTCTAATGATAGAAAAGGAGTTTTGGGGTTCTTAGGGTCCTTTAAATTAAGTGTTAAGTTTTTTAGGGGGATGGCATGAAGGATTCTGTTAGTCATAAATATTTCCTGCTATTGAATGATGTCTCTTAGTGGAAAAGAATATTGAGGGAAGCTTCTTTTGAATGTATTAAGAGAAGATAAATTGTCTTCTGTGAGGAAGAGGTTAGACTGATCTTAGCTGTAGTCTGGTCATGTACCAGGCAGACAGACTAACCCTTGAAAAGCTCTAAAAATCTATGGGTCTGTGTTACTCCTCCTACCCCAAGGCCTTATTTATAGGGCAACATTCTTCTGGTTCTGTCTGGTTTGCTGTTCCCTGTTGGCAGAGTTCATCATTCATTGTTCCACTTGGCCAGTTATTCCATTTCTGAGGTCTGAAACCTAACTAAATCTGCTCTCTCAAGAACCTCAGTTTAGTTGCTAAAATTCAGGTTCTTTGTAATCTGTTGAACACTGATTACAACTGGGAAAGAGATCACATTTATGGTGTGTCACATAATAGAAGATTTTATTATAAAGGTGTTTCTGTGGTCAGGCTTTCGGGGAAAGATTTAAAAGTATTAGTAGAAACCTTGGAAGCACAATGGTTATGCTTTTGGCTGCTAACCAGAAAGTTGGCAGTTAGAACCCACCAGCTGCTCTGCAGGACAAGAAGACCTAGCAATCTGCTCCTGTAAAAATTTCAGCTTAGGAAACCTTATAAACCCTGTGGGCAGTTCTACTCTGTCCTGTAGTGTTGCCAGGAGTGGAGCTTGACTCAACAACACGCAATAAAAATAACAAATGTATTAACACAGAATCATTTAATGATATGAAATTTGTTATATTTAAAAAAATCTGAAATCATTTTTTTCTCAAGAGTAATATTTCATAGAACACAAGTTGAGGGAGAATGTTCTGAGAAATAAGTAATATGGACAGCTCATCAGCAAACTATCAGCATGACTGCTGTGGGTTAACCTTGGTGCTGAGGTAGATGGAAGATTGTAGCAGGGCAAAGCTTATTTCCAGTCTTCACGGAGCATAGAGTCTCACTGGGGAGGCGAGTCTGACCCACGAGGGGCGTTAGAGAACAATGCTTGCTGGAGCTGCATAACCCAGCTCTAAATATCATGGGAATTCAGAAGGTGTGTAGTTGACACAGACTGGAGCAATCATGAAGGCTTCAGGGAAGAGGTGGGACCAGAGCTGGTCCTGAAAGGAAGGCTTTCATGGGCAAGTCATGCTAGGCAGGAATGATCTCAGGACTGAGGTGCTTGTGGTAGGGACTTATTCTAGGATTGGACAGACTTTGCATTCCTAAGCTAACATTTCGAAGGCTTTGCCTACCCTGCATCTGCAGTGTCCCAGAGTTCATGGAAAGTGAGTGTGCTTAGGTTTCGATCCTTGGGAAGATGGGCTGGTTGGGTCAGGTGGTGGTAGAAAAAGCTGACGTTCTCATGGAGTGTTAATCCCCACCCTCAGGACAAGCTGCCGTGGACCACATCAATGCTGTGATTAGGGAAGGCGACCCTGAGAAGACTCTGCTTGCTCTGAAGAAACCTGAAGCCCAGCTACCGGCTGTTTATCCCTTTGCGGCTGCTATGTATCAGCACGAACTTTTCAACCTCCAGAATCAGAATGCTATGGTAAGTCAGTGAAGGCCACAGTTCTGGAGACATTAATACTCACATGCAAATGGTAAGGAAGGCTGGCAGGAGTGAAGAGGGATACAGAATCCTTAACTTGTACCAAACCCTGGAATCATTGTCCCAATTCCAGCAATTCCATGGCCTCCTGCCCTTTTCACTCCTGCCTTTAATCTTGATGAAGACTCTAAGAGCACAATTAGGATAATGAGGCTTTAACAAGCATACATGAAAACAGGTTGGTCCTGTTCTCTGTGATTTTTTAAGCAGAATTTTTTTAAACCGTACTAAAGTGGTGTTTTAAAACAAATACATAATGTTCTTGATTTAGAAGAGTAAGCTCTGAATCTTTTCCAGAAATCTGCATCTAAGAGCATTAAAACCATGGCTTTCAGTTTTGCAAATTTATGCTCCTTCATTTTATAATGGTAATAGACATTAATATATCGCATGAGGTTACAGTAATTAAGACTATGTTTACTAGCGCAGGAACAACTCAAACAACAGAAAAGAATGAAAAGTACTGGAAACAGAGCCAAGGATTTAATGTATGAGAAAGCTATTATTTCAAAAAAGTGGAAGAAGGATTATTTAATAAGCCAAATCCTTACAAGTGTTCAGCCATTTAGGCAAGAAAACATAAGCTCACTACACATATCACATGTCAGAATAAATTTCCAGTGGCTTAAAAGATTAACTGTAAACAATAATTAAGAAACTAAAGTTCTAAGGAAAACATAGGGCATTTGATCATAAAAATCAGAAACAACACTCTCCCACCAAAAACTAAAGGGGTGAGGCCAAGAACATGAGCAGGCAATCCACAAAACAAGGAAGATACAACAAAGATAAATTTTAAGAAGTTCAAATTTAGTTGGAAGCAAATAATTGTAAATTAAAATAAGACAATTATTTTAAAAATAGCTTTGACAGAGATTAAAAAGATTTTACCCAGTGTAAGTGTAAAAATGGAGAGGCAGCGTTCTCATACACAGCTGAGAGGAGTGTCAATTGTACAAGCCTTTGGGAGGGTTGTTTTATATATCAGAGCTTAAAATTGGGGTACCCATTATCCTGTAAAATGAGACTAAGGTATATGAATAAAACTATTTAGCTATAGGAATATTTCCCAGAATTGTTTACAGTATTGAGAAACTGTAAGCAAACCACATGTTTTACTTAATTTAGCTTAATTTATGTTTTTTTCTAAACCATAAAAAAAAAAAAAAAAAGCAAACTCACTGCCATTGAGTGGATTCCAACTCATAGTGATCCCCTTTGGGTTTCCGAGGCAGTAAATCTTTATGGAAGTAGATTGTAACCAGTAAAACTAGTGTAAAAGAATAACGATCTGAAAGATATTAATACTATGTTATGTGGAAAAATGAGATTAAAATAGATAGCATTGTTGTTGTTATGTGCCATCGAGTCGAACCTGACTCATAGCGACCCCTCCTTGGGTTTCCGAGGAGTAGATTGCCCAACTTTCCTTCTGAGGAGTGGCTGGTGGGTTTGAACCGCCAGCCTTCTGGTTAGCAGTCAAGTGCCTTAGGCATACGCTACCAGAGCTCCTAGATAGCATTATCTTTTTTGAAATAAGAAAAATAAAACCTTTTTTCTTGTTTTTTTTTACAAAAACAAACTTCTATAAATATATAAATGCATTTGAAAAAGGATATATACTAAAGTGTTTGGGTGTTAGGATTTGTTTTCTTATTCTTTCTTGTCAAGGCTTTTTATATTTTTAAAATAGAAATATACTGTTTTTGTAATAAAAGACAGATTGGTTATTTTCTTAAATTGTACTTAAGTTATCTTCTTTAGTATTTTCTCCCTCTTCTCTAGCTTAAAGCCCTAGGCTACATATAGTCCTAACTGGTCAGTAGTTAATCTATGGTTGTCCAGCTCATTTCTACTTTTGTTCTCCTTTTTACTATTTGCCACTTTAAATTTTGTGTAGAGTCACTAGAAATTAGAGGAGGTAAATCTCAGATTATTCCATTCTACTCTTTACTTGTAATTTTACACTTTTCTTATGTATTAAACTGGTAGTTAATGTAAAGTGTTTGGAAAAAATTTACTTAACATGCTCCCTTTGATAACCTTCTTCCCCATTCACTTTGGAAGGTCAAATAATGCTTTATTACTATGTAATCAGCTGCAACATTTCTATAAAGATTCAACACTGTAATATTGCATTTTCATATGAATTTAAGTGGAAGAGAACATTGAAAGGGGAGGACATTCTGAAAATCTGTGATCTATTTTTTAAGTAAGCCAGACCCAGATTTATATATCATTTAAATCTGGAGATCCTTATTTGCTTTACTGAAAGATTTACCTCAGATTTATTCAACTATCTAGACTTTATGGCATTGTAAAATTTCTACAAAAATGATTTTGACTGACATTTTTTGGAATTAGAATCAATATTCTTGATTTAAAGACCTTTATTTACTTTCTAGGATTATAACTTTGAGGTGAATTTCTGCCCTCATTTCCTTCACACTTAATTCGGATTGACGATCGTTAATCATGCTAAAACCCTCCACTTTCAGTCAATGATGGCCTCCACTACCTGTTGCTATCATCCCCATAGGTCAGAGTGGAACTGTCCTATGGAAAGTTTTCAATGGCTGATTTTTTTGGAAGTAGATCACCACACCTTTTTTCTGAGACACCTCTGGGTAGACTTACACCTCTGCTGTCCAGGTTATCAACCAAGCTCATCAACAATTTGTACCCAGTCAATGACAGATTTTCTAATCCTTGATTAAATCATTTGGTAGAACTGGGCCTGTGAGTAGCCACAAAAACTGGAGTGGGGATCAGATGTAAGAATGTGGATTTTTGTGGAATTATAACTCTGTTGGTTGTATTTAACTCAAGTCTCAAATGGTTATCTAAGGAAAACCCAGGAGCTATTTATCTGTTCTTTAAAGCCAATGGAAAGTAGATAACCAATGACCCATCATTCTGCTGTGATCGCAATATCTTAGACTTTTCATTGTTCTTTAAAATTTGCCTCCCCAAACCCCATTATATTCAAGAAATGTGTGATTTTGAGAACTTGTGTTGCTTTATGTTTTCCAATAGAACTACCTGGCCCATGAAGAACTGTTGATTGCAGTGGAAATGTTGTCTGCTGTTGCTTTACTAAACCAAGCTCTGGAAACCAGTGATCTTGTGTCTGTGCAAAATCAACTCAGAAGCCCAACTATAGGCTTCAACAATCTGGATGAGGTGTATGTGGAACGGTAAGGCTTCCAAACCTCCTTTTAATGCAGAGATGTGTCTTTAGCAGATCTCATAAATTAAAAGATTTCTTCCTTAGTATAGGAATCCATATATTCATGCTAGTGTTTTTTGAAATCCACTTACCTGTCAGTTGGTCATACTCTGGTGACTTGCATCTTACTGTGATGCTGGAAGCTGTGCCACCAGTATTTTAAATACCAGCAGGTCACCCACAGTGGACAGGTTTCAGTAGAGCCTCCAGACTAAGACAGACTAGAAAGAAGGACATGACTAGGTCCACTTCTGGGAAGATTGGCCACTGTAAACCTTATGAATAGCAGTAGGACATTGTCTGATACAGTGCCAGAAGATGAGCTGCCTCTTCAAACCAGAGTGGACCTTAATGACTTGGATGGAGTAAAGGTTTCGGGACCTTCATTTGCTGATGGGGTATGATGCAAAATGGGAAGAAATGGCTGCAAATATTCATTAATAATCAAAACCTGCAGTGTATGAAGTATGAATCTAGGAAAATTAGAAGTTATCAAAAATGAAATACATAAAGATTGATACCCCAGGCAGTGGTGAGCTGAAATGGACTGGTTTTGGCCATTTTGAATCAGACAGCCATATGATCTACTGTGCCAGGAATGACAAATTGGAGAGGAATGGTGTTGCATTCATTGTCAAAAAGAACATTTTAACATCTATTCTGAAGTACAATGCTGTCAGTGATAGGATAATATTCATATGCCTACAAGGAAGACTACTTAATACTGTTGTTATTCAAATTTATGCCCCAACCACTAAAGCTAAAAATGAGGAAATTAAAGATTTTTACCAACTTTTGCAGTCTAAAATTGACCTAACATGCAATCAAGATGTATTGATAACTACTGGTGATTGGAATGTGAAAGTTGGAAATAAAGAAGCAGCATCAGTAGTAGGAAAATGTAGCTTGGTTCTAGAAATGATGCCAGAGATCACATGAAAGAACTTCTGCAAGACCATCAGCTTATTCATTGCAAATATTTTTTTTTCCACAACATAAACAGCAGCTATACACATGGACCTCAGCAGAAGGAATACACAGGAATCAAGTCAGGTACATCAGTGGAAAGAGGCAATGGAGAAATTCAATATCATTAGTCGCTAGGGCTCACTGTAGAACAGACCATCAGTTGCTCATATACAAGTTCAAGTTGAAGCTGAAGAAAATTAAAACAAGTCCACAAGAGCCAAAATACGAACTTGATTATATCTCACCTGAGTTTAGACACCATGTGAAGAACAGATTTGATGCATTGAACACCAGTGACTGAAGACCAGATGAGAGTGGAATGACATCAAGGATCAAATACCTAAAGAAAGCAAAAAGGTTATTAAAAAGACAAGAAAAAATTGAACAACCAAAATGGATGTCCGAAGAGACTATGAAACTTGCTCCTGAACATAGAGTAGCTAAAGCAAATGGAAGAAATGATGAAGTAAAAAGAGCTGAACAGAAGATTTCGAAGGGGCAGCTCAGGAAGACAAAATATTATAAGGAAATGTGCAAAAAAAAAAAAACAAAAAAAAAACAGGCATTAAAAAACCAAAAGGGACACCACTCTCAGCATTTCTCAAACTGAAAGAACTAAAGTAAAAAAAATTCAGGCCTCAAGTTGTAATATTGAAGGATTCTGTGGGCAAAATATTGACTGACGCAGGACACATCAAAGAAAGATGGAAGCAATACACAGAATCACTGGAGCAAAAAGATTTGTTTGATGTTCAGCCATTTCAGGAGGTGGCATATGATCGAGAACCAATGGTATTGAAGGAAGAAGTCCAAGCCACACTGAAGGAATTGGCAAAAAAACAAGGCTCCAGGAATTGATGGGATACCCACTGAAATAGTTCAGCAAATGTATGCAACACTGGAGGTGCTCACTTGTTCATGTCAAGAAATTTGCAAGACAGGTACCTGACTGACTGGAAGAAATCCATATTTGTGCCCATTCAAGAAAGGTGATCCAACAGAATGCAGAAATTATTAAATAATATCATTAATCACATGCAAGTAAAATTTTCTTGCAGAAAAATAGTATATTGTCAGGGAATTTCCAGAAATGCAAGCTGGATTCAGAAGAGGATGGAACAAGGATATCATTGCTGATGTCAGATGGATCTTGGCTGAAAGCAGAGAATACCAGAAGGATGTTTACCTGTGTTTTATTGACTTTGCAAAGGCATTTGACTGTGTGGATCATAAAAAATTATGGATAGCATTGTAAAGAATAGGAATTTCAGAACATTTAATTGTGCTTGTCAGGAACCTGTACCTAGAGCAAGAGCAGTCATTTGAATAGAACAAAGGAATGCTGCATGGCTTAAAATCAGGAAAAGTGTATGTCAAAGTTGTATCCTTTTACCGTATATATTCAATTTTTATGCTGAGCAAATAATCCAAGAATCTAAAGTATAAGAAAAAGAATGTGGCATCAGTATTGGAGGAAGAATTGTTAACAACCAGTGCTTTGCAGATGACACAACTTTGCTTGCTGAAAGTGAAGAAAAGTTGAAGCACTTACTGATGAAGACCAAAGACTACAGTCTTCAGTATGGATTACATCTCAACCTAAAGAAAACAGAAATGTTCACAACTGGACCACTAAGCAACATCATGATAAATGGAGAAAAGGTTGAATTTGTTAGAGATTTCATTTTACTTGGATTCACAATCAACACCTTTAGAAACAACAGTGAAGAAATCAAATGATGTATTACATTGAGCAAATCTGATGCAATTGACCTCTTTAAAGTGTTAACAAGCAAAGATATCACTTTGAAAACTCAGGTGCTCCTGACCCAAGCTATGGTATTATCAGTTGCCTCATATACATGCAAAAGCTGGACAACGAATAAGGAATTCTGGAGAAGAGTTTATACCTTTAAATTGTGGTGTTGACAAAAAATATTGAATATACCATGGACTGCCAGACAGACAAACATATCTTTCTTGGAAGGACTACAGCCAGAAATGCTCCTCTGAAGCAAGAATGGGGAGACTTTGCCTCTCATACTTGGGTCATGTTGTCAGGAACAGCCAGTCTCTGAAGAATATCTTGCTTGGTAAAGCACTTGTTGTTGTTATGTGTTGTGGAGTCAGACCTGACTCATAGCAATCCCTCCTTGGGTTTCCGAGGGGGTTTCCCTGCAGAAATAGATTGCCCAACCTTCCTTTCCAGGAGTGGCTGGTGGGTTTGAACTGCCAAACTTCTGGTTAGCAATCAGGTGCCTTAGGCACTATGCTACCAGAGTTCCTTGGTAAAGCAGAGGGTCAGCAAAAAAGGGGAATACTCTCAGTAAGACAGATTAACACAGGGACTGCCACCATGGACTCAAGCGTAGCAACGATTGTGGGGATGGTGCAGGAGTGGGCAGTGTTCCATTGTACATTAGTTTGCTGTGAATAGGATCCAACATGATGGCACCTAAGAACAATAGTCTACTTTATTTTAAGAGTATTTCTAATGTTAAAGAATTACTTTACAGAGAAGGCTGTCTAAAACAATCATCCTGTGAAAATAACTGCCTTTGTCAGTAGTAAAGTTTATTCAATAGGCTAAAAATAAATGTTGAAAGTATGCCTTCCATTGGCCTTCTTTTGGCAACTACATAATGTGAGTACATAAGAGTTCAAGCAACTTTAATAATCATTCAATTCAGTCTTTTATTGATGAAGAAACTGATTCAGGAGTTACGGACCCCAAGATTGGTTCATTGGGTCCCAATCCCCACTCTTCTGGTTACTAAACCAAAAGAATCCTGAGACCCCAGGGGTCGTGGCAGTACGTAACAGCCTCAATTTAATATCGTTCATGATTCCAAGATAGGCTACTGGATAGTGCAATTAATAGTATTATAAGACACTGTTGCAGATAGAAGGAGATCTGGTGGTACAATGGCTAAGTCATTTGGCTGCTAACCCAAAAGTCAGTGGTTTGAACCTGCCAGCTGCTTCATGAGAGAATGATGAGGCAGTCTGCTTCCATACGTATTTACAGCCTTGGAAACCCTATGGGGCATTGCTATTCTGTCCTGTTTGGTTGCTAAGAGGCAGAATCAACTCAATAGTTTTTTTTTGTTTTTTTAATTGTTGCAGATTAAAAGCTAAAGGGCCATATTAAGGAGCTAGAGTCCCTGGGTGACACAAATGGTGTACTTAGCTACTACCTGAAAAGTTAGCAATTCAAAGCCACCCTGAGGCACCTTGGAAGAAAGGCCTGGCAGCCTACTTCCAGAAAATCACAGCCATTGACAATACTGAGGAGCCCAGTTCTACTCTGAAACATATGGGGTCACCATGAGTTGGACCCATGGTTTGATTTTTGGTTTTCTTTTTTTAAGGAGCTAAAGTAGAGATTCAAGAAATGAAAAAAAAAAAAAAAAAAATTGCCGTTGAGTTGGTTCTGACTCATAGCGACCCCTCCTTGGGTTTCTGAGGCGATATCACTATGGAAGTAGATTGCCCAATCTTCTTTCCAAGGAGTGGCTGGTGGGTTTGAACCCCCAGCCTTCTGGTTAGCAGGCAAATGCCTTAAAACCTAGTTTAAAATTAGTGATTTTTCCATCCTGAATTCTGTGACCACCAGGGGGAGATGTCGGCATAGATCGTGACAAAAAAGCTCTATTCAGACACTTATTCAGGAACTGCTGTGCTAATAGGTAGATTGGGTACTTCTATTAGGTCCTGTAGGAGCTCTGGTGGTGTAGTGCCTAAGGCTACTGCTATTTTTCTAACCAGAAGGCT